ATTGAGTGTAATTCAGTGACCGCGGTCCAACATTTCAAGCTGGTCTCATGAAATAAACGCATCTCGCTGGGCAAAAATCTTGTCACTCGATTGTATGGGACACCCTGTGGTTAACATTACGATGTTTGTTACTCATCTAACTACCGGGGGTAGTTCCAGTTTCACGCAGTACTCGTTTTTTTAAAATAACATTTTTGTTTGTTTACTTAGCAGTCACGTGATAACCATTAAATTCTATCCAAAATTACCCAGAATTTCAGAAAGTGTGAGATAAGAGGTTTCATAAAGTATATGGTTTACTATTGTTCAGGACAATTCTTATATGAAAATATCAAGCCTAACTATAACATACTTGTTATGTCTACTACATCCTTAAACAGAAAATTGTTAAAACACATCAATCATAATGACCAAATGCTTCCTGTGAATGCATAGGGTATTTAATACAGTGGATAACAATATGGGCATTGTTCTTCAATATGTTGTTTCAAAGGACCTTCAGAAATTTATAATTTGTCAGCCATTAAATACATATTTAAGTCCGAAGACCGAAAACGGGGACTATTAATTTGGGTTTGTTCCGTCCATCCGTACGTACGTCCGGAGCTATATCTCGGACACCCATTGACAGATTTCATTCAAACTTTACATGAAGACAATACATAATGTCTTACATATGCCCGTCAAGTTACTTTATGATTGGAGCAAAAATGGCCGACTGGTGGTCATTTTGAATGTAAAATTTGCTATTTCTGATACCTAAACGTGTCAGCAGCAGTTTCTCGAAAATGACTGGGCCGATTTGGATCAAAGTTGGTATGATGATCATACATATTGGGTTGTAGGTGCACGTCATTTTTTTTTTTCGTGATTCGAACAAATATGGCCGACTGGCGTCCATCTTGTTTTTCATGGTACCCGTGCTACTTTCTCTTGAATGCAATGAACGTTTCTCTTTAAATTTTGTACAAAGATAGTATACTGAGGGATACATTTGTACCAACATTATTTTTGTGATTCAATTCAATAGGCCGATTTGTATCAAAGCTGGTATGATGATCATACATATTGGGTTATAGTTGCATGTCATATTTTTTCTGTGATTCAAACTAATATGGCTGACTGGTGGCCATTTTGTTTTTCATGATACCCATGCCTACTTTCCCATAAATGCAATGAACATTTCTGTTTAAATTTTGTACAAAGATAGTATACCAATAGATACATCAACATGAACATTATTTTTGTAATTTGATTCAATATGACTGCCCAATGTCCAATTCGCATGTAAAAGCACTAAGTCATAAGTTTTTACAAATCCATCTCCTATTAATGGTTTTAATCTAATCTCAATGACTTCATCAGCATCAAATTGATATGTCAGATCACAAAATTTTGGACGGGGACTGTGTCATTAACAATGACTTGTTATAATTATTTTTATAGGGAGTGCTAAAAAACAGGTGGTCAATACTATATCTTCTGTATGAACTCAGTCAAGATCCCACAAAAGTTAATAGGGTAAGATTTGTCTCATTATGTTCCCAGGTCTTCAGTAAGTAAAACGTCAACTGTTAGATATGCTGTGAATGATGTATTTAAATATTACGCTTGCTACGTTCACGGCATGTGCCGAAGTTTTTAATCCTTCATGTTTGGTTAGTGATTACAGTAGTTGCATTCACGTTAGTCAGGACCCACTCCTGGGACCCTTTCCTGGGACCGACCTGTTATATTACCCAAACATGGAAAGCGATATGCATATGATCATAATAATAATTGCTACATCATATCCATTTGTTGTTATGGTATTTATTACAAGTCATCATGCACATGAAGGACAAAGAAGATTCAAAAATAATTTGTTATTTGTTCACATCGATATAGCATTGCAAGAAAAGACAGCAAATCTCGGCACATGCCAAGTATCGATCCCAAGCATCTATGGGAGTTTTTTTTCGGCATCTGCCGACTCGGCCCAAACAGTTCACACAAGTTTTGGCACTGGCTGTCTCGGCACGTGACAATATTTCGAACATGAACGTCACTACTGATGTACATTAGACCCCACCTACTGTTAATGAATTGCAGCCAATTTCATGATATAACTACCATACATAATTAAGTGGAATTGAAACTTTAACTGAACTCAAAATTTGTTTTCAATTATGAAACTTATAATCTCATGTATATGCATTGTTTATTTAATCTAATCATAAATGTATTTATGTCCTTTATCCCATTTACCTCATTGTGATTACATGTCTTACCACACAGAGTACAGAAGGCGTGGCGTTATTTGGCCATGGTCTTCCAGCATTAGCTGCATCAACCCCACATGGTGCTACACTTTTATCAGTTGGTTCTATGAGTATGAGTAGTGGCATAGGCAGTGGTATCAGTAGTATCTTCGCACCTACTCCTGCATCCTTACCTTCAAGGCAAGTTTATATGTAGAATATTTACAGAATTTATTATCGTATGACTTCAACTGTGGTAACGTGTATGTGTTGTGCAAAGAAAGCTACAACATGTATGTATTATCATAGACCTTAGAATGAGAGGGACAGGCAACTACAGTGTTTCTTTTGTTTTAACCTGGGTTATAATCCTCCAAATAATCTTGCAATCTTATTAACGAATAAACAACCATCTGTTTATTTTTACTGTCTGCAGCACTCGTGAAATCACGTAAAACGCGTGAGTTTCCCTGCGTGACTACTGAAGCGACGGTCATGAATATGCTAATTGTATGTTAATGAGTTTTCCACTTAGTATCACACATTTCCAAATAGTTTAGAAAATTCAGATTTTCGACTTTTTTAGAGCAAGTAATCAAATTAAAATACTCAAATTATTTAGTAAACGCAATAATTTGAACAACAGATGTTTTTATTTTGAGAAATCGAGCGAAAATACAGCGATCTAAAACAGACCGGGTCAGCCATTTCCGGTGTAAGCTGCTGACTTTCACGGTTTCAAACAGTTTAGAAAATTCGTAATTTCGACTTTTGTACAATCTGATTAAAATCTGATGTAGTGTACGGGCTTTAATTATTTTGGCTATAAACTTATTTTAATTTTATTTTTTATTACTTTTGTTATTAATGCCCTTTTATCTCATTATTTTACTTTGATTTTGATTTTGTGATTTTTTTTAATTCCGCCTTACCTACATCTGATCCGACGCCTATGTAAGTCCCGTTCAAATCTCGCGTAAGTAACAGCCAATCACAGCCCCCCTTTTATACAGGCTGTCGGTTGCTTACTTTTCAGTGTATACGGGCAATCTTTCTGTACATTATATTTTGCCCACTTGAATAAACCATTAATAGAAAATTGCTATTAATGATTATTTTAATTTTAATCTTAATTTAATTTGTTTAAAATAATAAAATATTCAATCCCAGCTAAATCTAGGTCGTTAAAACAAAAACTATTTGAACTTTTGACGGCTATTCAACATCTATGAAAACCAGAAAGGCAATTCAATGAACCTCGGAAAATTTTTACTAGTCCGAATTTTAAATGCGAGTTTGCGGTGATATTTCCTGGTTTGAGCTGTCAAAAATAAAGCAAAAATTGTCCGGTTGAATTCAACAAGCGGTCGCAAAAGTAAGCGAAAAAAAAATTATTGATAGACGGAAGTGGACAGGAGGTTGGGCGAAATGAGTACTGTACATATATTTCTACTAGTATTGCCAAACATTATATGAAACAAATTTAATGCAATTTTCGGTTTATGTGTACTGGAATTTCTATTAGAAATGTACTTCTAATAGAGCAAATATAATCATTCGATTTTGATTGAAATGATAATTACACGAGTGAGTAATCATTGCGATATATTATTTCAACAGCTATGCATCAACCCCTGGTCTTTTACCAGCCAGTCAGCTTGGTAGTCGCTTTGTCAACTCATTATCATCAACAAGTAATAAACCAGCTATACGAGAGAGCAGAAACAACGATAACAGACGCCAGTTAGTTCCTGTCGGGGATGAAAATAGTAAGCAATTCCAAGTTTGTTCTTTATGGAAGGTATTTTGACAGGTGATATCCATATGGTGGATTTCTTGAAAAACTGAAATCTTGTTGCTGCATGCTATTTAATGCTTGGTCATCAAGAGTTGTTGCTTCTTTTGGTTCATATCAGTCATGTTTTTTTGAACACAGCAACATGAGGGATTGTGACAGCTACATTTTTGTATGTTATTAAATCTTTTCAAACTGGTTTGAATAGTGAGAGTGATAATAAGCTCCTTTGGGTCTTCATTTGTGTAAGGGATAGGCGACCCGAATGAACACTCCTCAAACGGCATGACCTGGTTTATACATCCTTGAGAATTGAGTTATATATTTAGACATGCAGAAATGGCTGTACAATATACCTTGGTTACCATAATTTATTTTCAGAGAACAAATGTTGAGATATTTTTCAAAATAATTTTATTAAAGATATTTGATCATATAAGTTGTCAGTTGTATTGAATCTGCCACTAGAGGGCGGTATTCATGCCTGGATTAAATTTGTAATATCTTACATTTGTATTCGCAGCTTCCTTTGAGGTATCTGAGTGTGTTCTGATACGTGATATAATCAATGCATTGCAAGGCTTTGAGGGAAAATTTTTAGTAAAAGACAGCAGCGGACAAGGATTTAACCTTGATCCCAGTGTAAGTTCATGTCATTTACTTCATATATTTGTCTGACCACATCAAAATATTTTTTTATACAATATACTCTCAGTCATAAGCATCTATGCAGGAGTGTTTTTGACTCCCGTGTGCGAAGCACAAAAGGGAGTCGAGTGTTCTCCCCAGACTTCATGTCAAGCATCACGGCCAATTTGCATAACAATACATCTAATTTGCATAATTTTTATTTGCATAGTAATCAGTTTTTC